TTTTACACATCTTCCCTCTATTCCCTGCCATCATCATGCCCTTCACTGACTTTTGCAACAACCGCAGCTCTGTTGCAATAAACTCTGAGCCTTTCCAAGGTATTCAAACACCTTAATGTTTAGTTTTTATATTTTATAATATTACTACCATAAACAGTGCATTTTATTGGGGTTTTATTTAATGGTGCAACACAAAATATGACGTAATTCTGATGGAACTGAAATGATAAATGGATTTTTAAAAGATTTTATACATATAATTTTGTAAAAACGTGCTAAAAATAGTAAAACCACCAAACAGCTTTTAGTTACTGATGGTATGTGTTCTTATTTCAAGCATCTATAGAAAGGCGATGTGGCCTCATGGCTCTAACAGGTTCTGTTCCAGATGTAGAATCTAGTTCCACACATTCTACCATCATTTAGCTTCACTGTTCCTGCTGAGGAGCAGTTTCCCTAAAGGGTGTGGATGGTGCATTCAAAGGGGCTCTACAGCGCTAAACAGCAATTTGATTGTATTTAAGGAAACAAATCTTTTCACCAGGATGTCTTCCTTTAAAGATTTGTTCTGACAAGCTTGAAACAAAAGTGACGTTTTTCATTTTATTTTTCCAGGTCCAGATAAGTCCAGATACGTGACGTCATGTGGCTAATATTTGGCCCCCCTGCCCCGCTCTGCTGCACTCTGACTGGCGTTTGACCTCCCAAGCAGACAGTGAGCCAGAGCGGGGCAGAGTCGGTACCCTGCTCTGGAACTAAGACAGCTAACAGCAGGAGATTGGAGTAGTTGATCAGTTTCTTCCTGAGTTCTGCATCCTTTAACTGTTTATCTTCATTGGTTGTCCTGCAATTTGATTGGATGGATGCTGTTGGATCAAAAGAAGGCGGATCTAATTTGTTTTGATGCTTTGGCAGCAGCACAAACACACAGACGTGCACATAAACACCATTAAAGATGCAGTGTTTCTGTTTAGAGTCCACAGCTCCCAGTCAAACGCTAACCCAATGGCGGCCATCTTCCATCCAACTTCCAGC